GCTGGGATCGCGCACGTGCTGCTCGGTCGGGTTGCCGCGTTTGCAGCATCTTTGGTGGCTGCGTCGGCAGGTCAGTGCAAGAGGTGTCCCCTGCTGCGGCCGTCCCGGGGAGTGAGTCTTCTCGCAGACCGCGGAGCCCCCTGGCCCGGGCTGGCCGGGGTCGGTGGAACTGGCCGCCAGCTGCGCGCCGCCGTCTCTGCGCTCCCGCAAGCGCGCGCGGGGACCGGGCTGGGGGCTGAGAGGTGGGCGCCGGCGCGGGGCGGGGAGGCCGCTCCACCTGCTCCTTCCACTTTTTGGAATGGTTCATCCTCCAGGGGAAAGGAGCGGGCATGTCTGTTCCCACCAAACTGTTTTGTCCAGTCTTTCGGAAAGCCCTCTCCGGGAGGGTGGGTCCCCAGCCTTCCACAGGGGCCAGGCTGAGGTCCTCGCGTCCCCGGCAGCCGCTGCCCCCCGTGCTCTCTCTCCTTCCCCGGTGGGGGTGGACGCGAGGGTGGCGACCCGCGCTCTGCAGAGCCAACACCTCCCTCTGAAACCCTCCAGCTCCAATAGCTTCCGGAGGTTTTCCCCGGGCGTCCAGGCTTTCCTCCATCACCACGTGAAGCCCAGACTCAGACCAAGAAGGAAAAGCTAACTCGGGTGGAAACTGACGTTGACAAAGCCTTTTGCTTTTCACAAGTTGACTGCTCCTGTAGATACTCTCCACGTGGTGGTACTATTGTTGCCCGCTTTCTGAGGACAAGAGTTTGGGCAGGGGCATGGATCCAGGCCCATGCAGCAGGGCAGTGGTGGCCACTGGTCTTGAACCCAGGCTGGCCCCTGCTCTCCTGCGGAGGGGTGAAGACGACCTGCCCCCCCCCCCCAGGCGAACCGGGGAGTTTCCTTCTTTGTTCTCTTAAGTACCTCCTGGTATCTCTTCTCTTGAGGAGGAATGGAAAGAGGGTTTGGAGTCAGCTGACCTGCCATCTGCCCTTGGTAGTTAATACCTACCTGATCTTGAACCCGTCACTTGATCCTGAAAAATGGGAAAAGACCCCAGTTTCAGGGTTGGCTGTGAGGGTTAAAACCTCTCCACAGCTAGGAGGTGCCTGATTTTTCACTTGGGTCATTATGATTAAGAGGATACCTTGATTTAAGGGCTTAAAGACGACACTGGCTCGCAAATGTGCCGGATAATGGTTGCGGCTCCATAAAGCTGAATCCGAGGAACATACAGGTGGGAGGACTAGAGGACATGAAGGTGGGCGTGGTCACAGTCTGGGTTGGAGGTGAGCAAGACTGACCTTCCTAAGAGTGGTTTCAAGAGCGCAGAGCAGGGAGCCATCACTTTGGGGAGCAGATAATGGAGGCAGAGAGGAAGCAAACCCTCCTGGAGGAGCGAGAGAGACTGCAAGGAAAGATGAAAGCAGTGGAGAGCAGGTTTAGTATGCTTGCAGAGTGAGGGGAGAGAACCATGGGGACCGAATGGACTGGGGCAAGAGCCCTGGATTTGGAGAGGACAGGAGTCTGCTGTGTCTCCGGGGAGCCTTGATCTCTGGTGAGCCTATTTTTTTTTTAAAGCTCCTCAGTTTTCCAGTGTAAGACAGCCAGTGTCTCATTGGGGGGTTCTTCTGCCCAGAGGAATCCAAGCCACCCTAAATAGGCACCCTAAATCTCAATATCTCAAATAATTAACAAATAATAAAACGTAAACACTCAGAAATATATTTACAAAAGCAAATTCCCTGATAGATCTAGTCCATACAGGTTCTTAAACAATCAAAGACAAAATGACTCTGGTGGTTTATTTAACTCCGTACTTCAAAGGCAGGGATAAGGTTTCAAGGACAGAGTCTTGCTTTGTGACCTCTTGCAAGTTGATTGACAGGCAGGTCACACCCATCTCAGGTGCTGTGTGAGAGAGAAGTTCCCCTGCATCAGGGGTCCTGGAAGTGCCCAGTGCCAGACCTACCCTCTCAGGAGGCTACTATGTGCAACATAGTCCACACACAGCCCACAGATGGTTGGTGACACTCAGTATTATACGTATATCCAGACCTCTTCTTGAGGCTGGATTGTGGGGGTTTTTTTAATATTTATATTTCAGTTGTAGTTGGACACAATATCTTTATTTTGGTGCTAAGGACCGAACCCAGGGCCTTGCATGAGCTAGGCGATTGCTCTACCTGCTGAGTCACAACCCAGCCCTGAGGCTGGATTGTTTTTAAATTTGTTTTTAACTGTGGTTGCAATCCGGGGAGAGTCTTTGAGCACATGGACAGTAGTGTCAAGAGTGCTGACACTGTCCTGCAGCTCCTTCATCTGACAGTACTGAAATCTTGAACTCATAAAACACTGATTTCCTGTCCTTCCTCCCTTAGGCTCTGCAGACACCTTGATAGTGGTGTCTGTGATGTCTGACTTCTCTAACCCAGGCAAGTGGGCCTTGCCCTTTAGTGACAGCTCATCTCTTTCAGCATCATGGCCACAAGCCTTCTCCGGGCTGCACAGTCGGGTCGACTTCTTCTAAAGACTCCACGCTGTATGCGGACTACATCTTCATGCATTGGAGGGGGCACCTTTTATTGTCATACTTGAAGTGCTGCAGGCATCACTCATACTATTTGGTCTCCATGACTAAGAACGATTAGAGCTCGGAGTTTTGAGATTATTTCATATTAGTGAGAATATGGAGGAAAGCTGAAGATGCATCCTCAGGAGAAGGACCTATATCAAAGAGAACTTGAATATTCCTGGACCATAATTATCTATCTCCAAAACAATCATGGAATTCAGTCTCTGGCAGGGGTGGGAACCAAAATTTTTTTTTTTTTTGCCAGAACAGGGACCTTTTGATTAATTGTAATATAGACCAAGTCTGATGTTTCCTGCTGCTTCTTAGACACGGTGTTTAGAACTAACACCTATCAGTTGCTGTTGGGGACCACAGCCGTGCTCACAGCTAAAGCCAACATGGCCTGTTTCTCTAGGAAGCCGGTCTATATTAAAGACCCTAGTGCCCAGGTGCAAATTATCCCCGGAGCCAGCTGAGCCCACGGCTGTATCCATCACTGCCTCTCTGATGGCAGGGCTGTCTCGGGGTCCTGCCCTGGTGCTTGCTGGAGATGGAGGGAGCGGAACAGTGGACCCCAGAGAGGCCTGGGAAGTTGTCCCATTATCTTGAGGGAGAATCTGTTGGCCTTCATCCTATGCAGTCAAACAAGTTCTCAGGAGGGACAGGCTGCAGCCTGTCATCTGATCTTTCAGAGGGAGGGATTAAGAATCTTCTTTGATGGTTTCTCTCTCTAAATTTAATTACTAGCTGGAAAAACAAGTTTTACTTAATCATAGATGTTCTCAAAATATAATCTGGGGAACACTGAAAATCCCCATGAACTTTTTTAGGGTTGATATGAGGTTAAAACTATTTTAGAACTATTTTTGAATTTTATTTAATATTAAGAACTTAGAAAGACTTGACGTTTTCATCCTTTCTCAGAAGTATATGGTGGAGTTTCCCAGAGGCTCCGTGACTTGAATTTTTGCTCAATGGATAACAACACGTATGCTTGTGTACTCTTGTGTTTCTAGACGCTTCTAAGGTGGCAGCTTTGGGGTTACCAATATGTGTTTTCAGAGATGAACATAGTTTGTGCTTAGGGTTTCTGGTGTGTTTATTAGCTGTCATCACCAATATCTACTCCTATCTCTGTGACTTCAAGACCCAGAGTTTTCCTGTATCTACATGGAAGAAAACAACAAAAAATACATACTTTGTAGTCTTGGTTTAAAGATTTTCTAAATTTTTAAATGGTATCAAATTATTTCTGAATTTAATGATAATTTATTCTGAAACAAGGATATGAATGTATACATGTTATACTTAAGAACAATAGATTATTGGTGTACAAGAGGAATTGAATGTTTTCAATTCACATCTGTACCATCTGTGTCCCTAAAAGTGCAAACAAATGAAACGGACAAATCGGTACCTTCCCTGACTCATGGAAGGGAGAAATTTACCCCAAGAAATGGGCAAAGCTAAATGAGACGCGATGGAAACACTCTTTGCTTTACCTCTAGTTTACCTTCCAAATGGGATTGCGGAGCTGGTAGCATCGTTTTGAGACCCATTTAGAGACCTCTAAAGAAAAAGGACTTGAATGGCTTAACTGTGGGTGGGTGAGCACTGTGAAGCCCCAAATTATCCATTCCGGCTTTTCAGACGAGAAAATAAGCTATTGAAGTATCAAACAGCATAGATTGTTAAGTTGTATTGGCTGGGAAAACTCACAAAAAGCCTGATTGGAGGAAAAGGCACTAAAAGAAATCACCACACCACCATTTCCCGGTGGTAAAGTACCAAGATCTAGCTGTAAACATGAAGGCTGATGGTGTTGGTGGTGTGACAGAGGGAGAGGTGTGTTTTTTGCCTTGCAAATGGAGGAATTTGCAGTCATGATAGGAAACACTTCTTTGGTGTAGCTCAGTGGCAAAGCATGTGCTTAGGATGCACAAGGTCCTCATTTGGTTCCCAGTACCCCAAAGTGTCACCTTCATTACCAGCTTTACCTTAATCCTGTGTATGGTTTCATCAAGAACACATAATTTCATTAAGTGTTGATTCTGACTGCGTGTCTGTTTGGTGTGCTGGGTGGTGAATGGAAGTGCCTATAAAGCTCTTCTGTTGCCATCCAAGTGTGACAGATGCCTAGTGTGATGTGTTCATGGGATTGATGTGCGAGCTGAACTGGCCACTTTTCTTCATAGATGCCATTTTTGCTTGAAAGGTGAATGGCAAACATTGTTCTCTAGACCTGAGTAATTGGCAGATAGATTCTAAGAAGGATCTAAGTGAGCCAGTCACTGCAAGGAGATGGCTAAAGTGTTTGCTGTTAACTCACCTTGTGAGCTTGACAGCTTCCCACTTCATAGGAATTTCCCATTGGGATCAGTGGCGACACCAGCCAGTGTGACTTTCTGGTATAGAGAAGCATGTTGACATTGGTTTGGAAGATATGCCTAACTCGGAGATCTAGGATTTTCCAGGAGACTAGTGCATGAAGTTACAAGGTTGTGCAGGACTAAGATATCCTCAAAGTGAGATAGGCTTCCATATATAACCAGGTACAAAAGGTTCATTGGGAGATAAGATTTCAGCTTCCACATTGCAGCTGACCTTCAGGAAAGGTTGAAAGTAAGTTAGCCTTTGAGTTTTGGAGACCTATCAATGATGAATGTCCAGAACTATCTGCAAAGGCCGAGAAAACATTAGGCCCTTGCCCACTACTTTGTGGTGTTCTGTTTTCTCTATGTGCTTCAATCAAAGCTCAGAGATGGGAAAGCAGCTGTCCTCAGTTAAGACAGATGTCAGTGAGAGGAATGGACCAATGACATAATGTGTATGTTAACATTTATTTTTAAGTAAATCAATAAAAAGTTCAGCTTTTTTGGGAGGGTGGGTACTGGGGATTGAATTCAGGGGAACTTGGCCACTGAGCCACATCCCCAGCCCAATTTTGTGTCTTATTTAGAGACAGGGTCTCACTGAGTGGCTTATCGCCTCACTGTTGCTGAGGGTGACTTTGAACTCACCATCCTCCTGCCTCAGCCTCCCAAGCTGCCAGGATTACAGGCGTGCAACCCTGCACCTGGCAGCATTTTTTGGTCTTGATTTCTGTCAAGGTAAATATTGATAGATTAACCCACACAAGTCTTTATTTATTTATTTATTTTGGAGTTTTTATTTTTTATATTTTTTATTATTAGTTGTTCAAAACATTACAAAGCTCTTGACATATCATATTTTCATACATTTGATTCAAGCAGATTATGAACTCCCATTTTTACCCCGTATGCATATTGCAGATTCACATCGGTTCCACATCCACTTTTTTACATACTGCCATACTAGTGTCTGTTGTATTCTGCTGCCCTTCCAAGTCCTTAATTTTTGAGAGTGTGAAGGACTAAAGAACATGAGCTGCTGCCTGAAGAGCACGATGCACTGCTGAGGAATGGGGACCCGTCGTGGGAAACGCGAAGTTAGGTGATTTTGATGCTGTGGGGACATGATATATCCAGTTCACTTCCATAAAGATGACTGCAATGTCACTCTTGGCTTCTGAACCATGGCGTGTGTATGACCCATTGTTGACTGGAACTTCTTTATGTGGCATGTGACTTAAATTCAGTGTGTCTATAGCAAGATAACAATCTGGACTTGGAAGAGCCATGCCGCGCACAGGTGGAGGTTGTTAAAGGAACCTTGCAATGAGCCATGTGCAGCTGTGGTGAGAACTGGGTGCTGGGGGGCAGGTGGGCTCTGAGGGTAAACCAGATAGTGCTAAGAGCTTCTGGGGTGGGAGGGGCCCACACTTCTCCCTGTGGGGGATGGAAGACTAACAGAGAGGTACCTATTTGGTATCTCACAGTTGCTTTTCCTTGACTCTAGTCTTTTGAACTGAAACAAAACAAAACAAACACAACGAGAAAACCTTTGGACGGTGGCCATTCATTATTTTGCTTTGGGGAGTTGGAAATTGTCCCCTGAGTTTCAAATGTTCTGGGAAACCCAGTCATCTCTGGGCTTCCTCAATCTCCCTTTCAACTTGCTGAAATGGGTCCCTCTAGGGACAGAGTTCTTGCCTGGTCTCAGGTGCCAGCAATGGCTGCAGGGAAAAGCCCAGTTCCCCCTGGGGGTCAGGACCACAGCCCTGGACTGGAGTCCTCTGTGTTTCTCCTTTGTTAGCAAAGCAATGAAACTTTTTTCTTTTTTCTCAAAACTGTCCTCATTTATTGGATTGGCATGGGGGGGACGGAGGACGAGCTTTCAGTAAGACTGTGTGCTAAAGAACAACCCCCCCCCCCAGGGGCTCACCTGGGGTGTGAAAGCGCTCCCTGGAAGCTGGTCTTCTTTTGTTTTCCCCTCCCTGGAACCTGGTCTGGGTTGGACTGCCAGAAATCCTCTGCCACTGAGACACTCAAGGATCACACTAGAAATAAGGTAGATGTGGTCTACTTCTTTCCCTCCATAATGCAAAATAGAAGATGGTTGGAATCTTAACCCAGTTACCACTTTGTGAGGGGTGGGACACCAGAGTTGGCTGCGAGGACTTCACCCTCCTGGCGAGGGGACAGCTGATGGCAGCTCAGAGGTGGAGGTTGCAGGTCCACATGCCAGCATGTCACCCGTTTGCCTTTAGGGAGTGTGGGGACTCGTGTCAGAACCTGCAGGCAAGCGGTGGCTGTGGCTGACCCTGGTGAGCCTCCTGGGTGTACCGGTCAGGATGGAAAAGAGGACCCATGTCTCAAGCCACACCTCTTGGCACCACCCAGACCTCTCAAGGCCAGGACTGATTTTGTGGTAGAGCTGGACTGAATCAGATACATGCTAGTGATTTTAGCAGCAATGAGAAATGACTTTTTGTAAGGGACCCTTTCTACAGAGATGGCAGTACAACAAAAACTACTCACAGGTCGCAGGGGGCCTTTTTCTCTTTCGCCATCTGCTTTTCTCATCTGGTTTATTTTAAAGATAATGTCCAAGTGTTAGTACCAGATTAGCAGGGCACCATTATTTAGTCTGGGGCCTGTTTTGTCACCTCAGATGGTGCGGGGACAGGCTGAAGATAAACTGTGGCTCTCTGCAGTAGGCCCTGTTGTCAGCACTGTGAGGAATCTGGCCTTTGTGTGAGCAACTTTTCATGCCTTTATCGCAGGGGCCTGACTCACAGCAGGCCCTGGACTGGCTTCCTGTGGCCAGCTCAGCAGTCTCTTCATGCAAATCCTGAATCCCAAACAGGGCTGTGCTCATTAGCTGAGGATCGTATTGTTAACTTCAGTTAAGGAGCTCTTTCCAGGGCTGGAAGAAGGAAAGGTTACCTAGTGGACTCTGCTCCCTTTTCCTGCAGCACATTTGAAAAGCAAATGCAGATCATCAGGATGCTGAGGCACGTGGCTGTGGCCCGTGGAGCAGTGCAGAGGCCCCTCCGCAGCTGCTGGATGTCTGTCCTGCCAGTCCGGTGTCTGGGCAACTCGTCTTCGCAGATCCCAGAGAATGCCAGCTTCCACTCTGCCGCCTCCTCTGAAGCAGACCCTCCGCGGATCCTGATTACAGGTTGGATTTTCTCCCTCTTCCTCTTCTCCCTGTCTTGGCTTGAATCTCACCTTCTTGGTGCTGCTCTGCGTAGCTGCCTTTGGTTTTGGAACATGTGATGTGCTATCCTGTCACCAGGCCCGGGGCCTTGGGAAACAAGGCGCTGCAGCAGGTAAGTTAGCATCTGTCCTGGGACCTCACTGCCATTGACCTCACTGTCACCAGATGCCCTACCTTGAATATGCCAGCCCTGATCCTGCACCTTCTCACCGTAGACTTCTTCGTGCTGCCCCTGGCCCAAGCCCCACTCTCATTTGATTGACAGGTTTTATTTCCTCCTCCTCTGCCAGGTTTCTTCCATTGGCTCTGCATCACTGTCCTCCCACTTTCCTCACAGGGTGTGTGTGTGTGTGTGTGTGTGTGTGTGTGTGTGTGTGTGTGTGTGGTTTTCTCACTCTCTGCCACCCCTCTCATGAAGCATGTCCAGGGTTTGGAGGCCATAGTAATAGGAGCTGGCAGGAAATCCCTCTGTTCTGTC